AAAAAAAAAAAAAAAAAAAAAAAATCAAAACCTGATAGAACACATTTCTGCCACCCTCCTTGTAAATTTTTATGGTGGAAAAAAACACATACACTCACATTCCAAACACTGAAGCGTTAATGGACTAAAATCCTTTAAAGAAGTAATACACCCACCCACCAATGATAAACAAAGGAAGTTTGTTTTGACCTTCTGTATTTGTTTTTGGGGTCTTTTTATTTATTTACTTATTTATTTTAGATTTTTTTTTTTTTTGAGACAGAGTTTCACTTATTAACCCTTGGTAAAGTGCCTTGGTGTCACAGTTCACAGCAACCTCCAACTCTTTGGGCTTAAGCGATTCTCTTGCCTCAGCCTCCCGAGTAGCTGGGACTACAGGTGCCCACCACAATGCCTGGCTATTTTTTTGTTGCAGTTTGGCCAGGGCTGGGTTTAAACCCGCCACCCTCGGTATATGGGGCAAGCGCACCACTCACTAAGCCACAGGCGCCGCCCCTTTTTATGATTTTTAAAACTATTATCTTCTGTCTTTCCTATTAGTGTTGATGGACCCAGCAACAAGTTGCTAATGAACAATTTGCAGTCTCCCTGTCTCCTGGTTGTTTCTTAGATACATCTTACCTGCCCAATTAAGACTGGCCAAATTTGAGGAAAAGGGCCATCATATTTTCTTTTCTTGGAGACAGAATCTTCCTTTGTCATCCCAGCTAGAGTGCTGTCATTATAGCTCACTGCAACTTCAAAATCCCGGCCTCAAGTGATCCTCCTGCCTCAGCCTCCTGAGTAGCTGGGACTATAGGCACATGCCACCATTTCAGGCTAATTTTTCCTTTTTATTTGTAGAGAAAGTGTCTCATTTTTTCGCCCTTGGTAGGGTGCCGTGGTGTCACACATCTCATAGCAACCTCCAACTCCTGGGCTTAGGGCAATTCTCTTGCCTCAGCCTCCTGAGTAGCTGGGACAATTTTTCTATTTTTTGTAGAGAAGAGGTCTTGCTCTTGCACAGGCTGGTCTCAAACCCCTAAGCTCAAGTGAGTGCTAGGATAGGCATGAACCACCACACTTGCCACATTTTTATTGTTTTTAATGATGTCCTCTAATACAAGTCTGGGGTATACAGTAGAGGCTTAATGAATGAAAGTTAATTTCTAGACTTTTTAAACATCTTTAAGTCCTAAGTAATGACATCTAAATTTTTTAAAACTGATTAAGTTGAAACAAGAGTGTGAAAATGGCCAGGACCTGCCTTTTTCTTTGCTGGTATTTACCAGCTGATAGATTTTAGCTTAGGAGACAGAGCTAGATCAACCATAACATCCACTTATACTGTCAGTCTTCCATTAAAGTAGGTGAAATGTCCTTGGAAATTGGGACTTTAAGTGAAACAACATATAGCCTCATATGTCCTCAGATAACGTCATTTCACTCTGTTATATGTCGTTTCACTTAAAGTCACAGTTTCCATAGAGCTATGGCCAATGTTAAGTGAGGACTGATTGTATATTAAATCCATTTGTCTGGTGGTTAACGATGCTGTGTCATAAAATCTTCAACTGTCAATTATCCAGGGAAAATGGAAGAAAGAAATAGTGTATGAAACAACAAGGAAATAAATCACCCATTTTAAGTAACAGAAAACTTTATCCACGACTATGACTGCTGCCATGCAGGCCCTGGAGAAAGGGAGATCCCAGGAAAGTGAGGGGCCCAGTCCACCTGCAGATAACCATCAAGAGGATAAAGGCACACAGCTAACCCATGGGAGGCTCTAACTAGCTTTGTAATATCTGCACTCTTCCTTTTAAAAACAAAAACTCTTCAAGCATTTCTAAAAATCTATAAACCAAAAGCAGCCATAATAGGAAACATGGTGATTTCCTAGACAGAATCATTAAAACATGGGTTTAATATCCTCTGTCAGTTTTCACAAGAGGATAATTCAAAAGGCTATCTACAGAAGAATGCAAAATGACTTTACCAAATAGGCACCAGGTGTATACCTTTGTCATGAACTCCTCCAGCTGCTCCACAAACTGCTTGGTCTGCTGCTGAATGAACTGCTCACAGGCCGATTTCAGATGACGGTCTACATCCTTTTTAGAGTCAAGATAATGTTCTCTTATCTCAGGAGTACCCTTAAAAAGAAGATGATGTCTTCCTGTTTTTACGTGACTAGAAATTATCAACATGTAAAGAATGTCATTTATCTCCCACCACCAATGACACAGACTCTTTCTTACCTCCAACAAGAACTCTATCAAGGCATTGTTGCTATTCAGCCTAAAAAATCTTGGAACAGTCATAGGGTTCAGGATTTTAAATGCTGCATCTGTGAAACAAAATTACTCATCCAGTGAACATGTACAGCTTCAACAGAGAGGCCATGCGTAACACACACTCATTCTCTACCACCACAGAGCAAAAAGCCACTTCATCTCCACCAACTCACCTCCATGAAAGCATGAGAGTGAGATGAGGGCCATTCATGGCTCAGAACCCACAAAGTACAAAATAAACAAAAGTTATTTTCTAGTAGCTGGAACTGCGAAATAACAATCTCAATTATTCATTTACAGAAATAAGGAAAAATAACAAATGGTAACGGACACTAAAAAATTTCACTATTTTACTTTTAGCACATGAAATAGGTTTTTAAAAAATACTCACATACTTACCTAGCTTATTAGTTAAGATCCTGGCTGGCACAGAAATTTATCCACTTGAAGCACAGTAAATAAATTAATGTGTCAGCCAGGAAGAAAACACCAAAAGGACATATTATCCCTTAACCTCCAGACTAACTAGAATCTATGCAAAGTACTAGGTGAGGTTTCATTAATGTTCAAATGCAATAAGATATAATGTTAGTCATGAGAGGTTAGAGGTTTAAAGTAAAGATAGCAAGTATTATTCAGTAACAGTGAGATAAGACCATTTCTTTGCTTTCCTGTGCCAGACTAGAGAAAGCAAAGCATGAGATGCTTCCAACCCCGCTTTTGCAAGCACACATCCCCCTAATACTTAATGCTTTGACTCTGGTCTTAATCAAAAAATATATATATCAGTTTAGTATTCGGAGGTAAGCTTTAGTAAATGGCTCTTTGTGCCTGCTGTCTTTTCTATGAGACAACTGAAAGATTTTGTTTGCAATAAACAGAATCAAGTTACCATATGGTAGGTTTATATTAGCTTTATAACACCTGGGGGGAAAACACACCTTAAACCAAATTTTGCCACAATCTTAGGCTACTTCTACACTAAAATTAAAGAATAAGAAATTATGAATTAGAAAAAGAACTGAAGAAAGTAAATCACAGGCTCAGCAGCTAGGGTGCCAGCCACATACACCAGAGCTGGTGGGTTTGAATCCAGCCCAGGCCAACTACAACCAAAATTAGCCGGGGGTTGTGGCAGGTACCTATAGTCCCAGCTACTCAGCAGGCTAAGGCAAAAGAATTGCTTGAGCCCAAGAGTTGGAGGTTGCTGTGAGCTGTGATGCCATGGCACTCTACTGAGGGTGACATAGTGAGACACTGTCTCAAAAAATAATAGTAAGTAAATAAATAAATACAAAAAATTTTAAAAGAGAAAGTAAATCAATCCTGCTCTATCACATCTTTTTAATATAGTAAGGATTTCAACAGCTAGGAATTCTTCAAGGTTAAGAGCATCATTTCCACACTTGACACTGAAAAGAAAGGAAATCAACCAGAATGATCAGGAGATAGAAGCTTCTGATGAGAATAAGCTTTTTAAAAATTATGTATTCTGTAAAGACAAAAGTGAGGAAATTTGGCTCCTGTTTAAAAAAAATCACAAACTATATAAATAACACACAAGCTTTACAGAAATAAAATACTCTATGATGTATCTACAGGCTCAGCCCACATACACCGAAGCAGGTGGGTTAAAACCCAACCCGGGCCTACTAAACAACAATGACAACTGCAACAACAACAAAAAATACCCGGCATTGTGGCAGGCACCTGTAGTCCCAGCTACTTGAGGGTCTGAGGCAAAAGAATTGCTGGGCCTTTTGGTCTTTTTTTTTTTT